GCTGGTTGGGGGGCACAGTGGATGTGAGAGGCCAGCAGGGAGGGGTGAGGGGGATGGCAGACACGCCGGGCCAGCTGGGAGGGGCTGGGTGCTGCTCCTATAGCCCAGCCCTGTGCACGCCCCCAGGGACCTGCGCACCTGTCTGCCGAAGTGCATCATGGGAGCCCAGGTTGGACTCGGCGTGTGTCGGCTTGTGCTGTGACCCTGGGCCAGCTGTAGTTCAGAGGGCAGTGTGAGGTGTGGCCTGCACCTTGTGTTCTGGCTTCCAAGAACCAACATGAAGGGGCCGATCTGTGCACGGTGGCCTTCACGGCCCCTGAGCTTTGTGAACCCCGAGGCCAGGCTCCGTCGTCAGTTCCTGGTCATCAGGGAGCTCTCGCGGATTGAAGAACAAAGCGTTCTCCTCTTGTTGAATCCGGCATGCTTGGGGTCCTCTACTCTCGAGTGAGTGCGGAGGCGTGTCACTGCCCCATTTGCGCGAAATCGCTCACGTGCGTGAAGGAGGGTGACTGATCCTGTCCCAGAACGTCTCATGGCAGTCGGTGCGTGTCGTCAGGTCATACCTGGGTCCGTGAGTCCGTGCGGTCTTTGTCGGGTCTAGAGTAAAAACTAGTCGCCTACACGAGATTACTGAGGGGTGATTGCTTAGAACACAGACCTCCGTCTGGAGAAGAAAAGAAACGTGCCCGACAGATCCCGTTACTGCAGGGACAGAAACAGGCACACGGGTCGACGTGGCTAGCAGTCCCCACTTAGCCGGGACGGCGGTGCCCCTGTACTGTCCGCCTGTCAGGTCGGCTCGGGCCTTTGTGAAGCCACCCTGCATGCACACGCGTGTCTCATGGCGCGTCCTGGGACTTCTGTCGCTGTTGCGACCCGGGGCTCGGAAGGGTGGCGGGCATACAGCGCCCTGGCACACGTCCGGGAGGCCTGTGCTCCGAGGTCGTCCAGGGCCCCCTCTTCCCGGAAATGGAGTGGCTCTCCTTCCCGAGAAAAGGCGCGTGGTCAGGGTTCCCAGCAGGCCGTGCAGCGGCACAGGAGCATCGGGACTGAGGTTAGCTCCAGGTTCAAAATCAAGCAGTCCTAGGGTCCCGGCTTTGCAGACCTGCGGTCTGGGGCCATGTCGTCCTGCCAGCCCACGCTTCTGCGGATCGCCTTTGGGCCTGGGCTGAGCCTGACAGAGCCCGGGGGAGCCGGGCCGTGAGGTGTCACTCACTGCTCATTGTGGCGGGGGCCCATGGCGAGCTCCACGAGGCCGCGTGGTCAGGGCAGTGTGCGACCTGTGTCTTCCCGTCCCTTGCTGCTGGTCACTGTCGTAGTCGGAAACCTGGGGGATCCTTGGGGTTAGAGCCATGGCCCGCATGGCTGGATGTGCACTCACCCAGCTTGGTTCTGACTCCACCGCCTGTAATGGCACCAATCCCACAGGCTCAGGGCTCTGTCCCTGTGTCCCCGACAGCCCCACCCCCACTGCAGGTACAGGCGCAGGTTGGCCTCCGCTCTGGGACCTCAGGACCCCTCTGTTCCCGGACGCCGTTGCTTTACTGAGCACTTGCAGAACCGTGGGAGGCAGAGGGCGTGTGAGAGCGCGCGAGTAAAAGCTGGTGGAGACACGGTAGCCAGAGGGTCTTGACATGGCGTGGCTGCTCCCGTGGAGGTGGGGCGGAGGTGGGCTCGGACGTCCAAACCTGCAGAGCCCTGGCCCTGGGTTCATCGCGAGCCCATCTCCGGATGACTGCACTGGCTAGGTCGAGGTGTGGCACCGCGCAGGCCCTAGCTGGATGGTAGAGTGCCAGGGTGGCGCTGAGGCCCCCATGAGCTGCCCCTGTACCCCAGGTGTGGACGGGCCTTCGTCTCTGGTCAGCTCTGTGTCCGCCTTGGGGAGCTTCAGGAGCAGGGGCAGAGGCCGATGGTGAGCCAGAACCAGGATGGGACTAGAGACAGACGTGACAGCTTCACAGGAGCCGTGGAACCCGTGGCAGGATCTGCCCCGTGGACGGGGCTGGGGCAGTCTCTCGAGGGCGCAGCCACTTCTGGGTGGTAGCCAGGATCAGTGGAGGTGGCTGCCCTGGGCTTAGACCCGACATGGCCCAAGGCCCACCAGCATGAGCGAGCCGAGACCCCAGAGGCTGCGGGCTGGGGTTGGGGCTTCCGTAGAGACCCCTCCAGGGACCTGCACCCTGCAGGACAGAAATGACACACTTCCAGGCCTGGTCTCCTCCGAAGAGCCCGGGAGGTGTAAGATCTCCCGGCCTCACCGCACCTCCCCCATGCTTGTGTTGCAGGCGTGGTGTCCTTGGTGGCCGTCCACCCCTCCACCGTGAGCGCGCTCGGGAAGCAGCTCTTGCCGAAGACCTTCGGACAGTCCAACGCCAACATCGCACAGCCGCTGGTGAGGCCTGCGACGGTGGTGGGGCGTGTGCGGGCTGTGGCTTACCGGGGTGGGCTGTGCAGGGGTGGGGGCCAGGGCGTGCAGGACCCCGGCTAGCCCTGGGCGGGCTGTGTGCTTGCATCTCCCCCCAAGGACAGTGCTGATTGCTCTCCCTCCTCAGCAGCTTTGGGGTGCTCTGCGTTTTCTGGGCACCTCATGTGTCCCTTGTAATTATGGGGCAGTGGGTGCCCTTGAGACCGGGTGCGGCCCACAGTCCTGAGCTCTGGCAAGCGTCTGTCATGTGCTCCCCGGAGCAGGGTCGTGTCCGTGCAGATGGCCTGGCGGGCAGCAGGAGGCCAGGCGTCATGGCCTTGCCGTGTCACCCTCCCTGTCAGGTGCAGCAGCCTGGTGAGCCGGGCCCTGCTGGGCACGCCATGTGTCCTGCTGCCGTTCGCTCTCTGGTGGGTCCACGTGTGTCCATCAAGGGCAGGAGGCCCATGCGTGTCCTGCAACCCCGGGGCCTGGGGCAGCAGCTCCCACATGCGTGCTCAGAGCCCTGAGACTGGATGGTCAGCCCCTCTCCTGGGGTCTCCCTTGTGGCCACAGCTCTTTTCTGACCCTGCACTCTAGGGTCGCCTGCTGAGCCCTGGGCTTTGGGGGTACGTGGCCCCTGCTCCCATCCCTTCCCGCCCCCTCTTTGTCTCTGCCACCACCTGGGCTGTGCCCACCTAGGAGGCCGTGCTCGGGGACAGAGACAGTGTTGGGAGTGAGCTGTGTGGCTTCACCCTAGTGGCCCTTGTGTCCCCCCATGTGCTGCGTCTGGGGCTGCTCCTCCCAGCGCGAGCACCCGTTCTGAGTGAGGGCCGGCCGGGACACCTGAGCCTCTCCTCAGCCTCTGAGCCCGCTGCTGTCCCCGTTTGTTTCAGGGACGTGAAGTCCCCAGGTCCCTTCGACTGGGTTAGCATTTGGCAGGAGCAGTGGGGCCTCGGCGTGCTCTGAGCTGCTGCTGTTGAGCGTGCGAGGAGCAGACATCTCTCCCCACCAGCCTGCACGCTGACCTACGGGCACCACGCCAGCTTTTGCCTCGGAGGGTTGTGTTGCCATAGCAATGGGCGTGGGCATCTTCCTGCGTCTGGCTGTCACAGCGGAGCATCGGGTTCTGTGTGTTCCACGGCGCGTGGCCCACTATTGTCACCAGAGCAGGTGTCCTAGCGTGCCTCGCCAGCTGGCAGCCCCTCAGGAGAGGTGACGGGTTTGTCATGGGGCATCTGGCTTCTGCACCCAAGGTCAGGCCCCGGTCTGGGCCTGTCCGGGTGGAGCGCAGGGGGTGGTGGCGTCTGGGTGTCTCACCTTCTCCAGCTCTGTCGTGTGGGTGTTGGGGGAGCACCAGGTCTCTGCCACGCACCGTCAGTGGTCCCGAGGCTGGCGGGGCCCTGAGTAGGGTCCTGGGGAGCCCCGATTCGTCACACTCATGGACGGCAGGGCTCGATGCACGGAACAGAGCTGACCCAGAGCCCACGCCCTGTGCCCTGCCCGACGACGCAGTAGCACTGAGTTCCGTTTTAGACTGTGGGAGCGACGGCACAGAAGTGCCCCTGGCTACCTGAGCCAGGGTCGCGGCCGAGCAGGCCCACTGGGGGGAGCGGCCTCGACGTGGCCCGGCTTGGCCTCCTGCCTGCTCTTAACACCTGCCCCAAGCCGCCAGCTCAGGGCTGAAGGCACGCACCCAAAGCCGCTCACTCACCTCCTGGGACCCGCACTTCGGATCCCACAGCAACTAGCACCGGCGGACCTTCAGGACCACGGCCTGGTGCCCTCCGGAGTGGCCTCAGGTTTCGGGGAGCCCGTCACACCCCAGCGTGGGGTGCTGTCATAGCCCTTGGTCCCCGTGGCTTCTGAGGAGCAGAGGGAGCGCCCAGCAGAGGGGCCCAGTGCCCTCGCCAGGGCGGCCGAGCCCCTGGAGCTCCTGCTCCGCGCTCGCCCTCCACCCTGCCGCACCTGCCCAGCGGCCGTCCCCTGTGGTTCCCTGAGCCTTGGCTGCTATGTGAAGACAGGGCGAGCCATGCCTGAGGCGGGGCCCCTCCCCCCC